TGTTGGTCAGGCTGGTCTTGAACTCCCGACCTCAGGTGATCCGCCCGCCTTGGCCTCCAAAGTGCTTGGATTACAGGCGTGAGCCACTATGCCCGGTCAATGTTTTATTTCCTTAATTGGTATCCTAGCCATAAGTCTTTGTTATTTTAGGGATTGCTGTAGGTTCTCTGGTATACATCTTTAGCTGATCACAGCCTGCCTTCAAGTGATACTTCACCTTATTACACATAGGATAATCACTTTACAGCAGACATGTTAATTTTTATCCTATAGTGTTGTCATACATTTTATTTATTGGTTTTTTTTTTTTTTTTTTTGAGAGGGAGCTTCGGTCTGTCTCCCAGGCTGGAGTGTAATAGCACGATCTTGTCTCACCACAGTCTCCATTTCCCAGATTAAAGCGATTCTCCTGCCTCAGCCTCCCCAGTAGCTAGGATTACAGGCATGCTGTATTTGTTTGCTTACTTTTGAGACAGAGCCTCACTCTGTCACCCAGGCTGGAGTGCAGTGGTGTGATCTTGGCTCACTGCAACCTCCACCTCCCGGGTTCAAGCAATTTTTACACCTTGGCCTCCTGAGGAGCTGGGATTACAGGGCTGCATGACCACGCCTGGCTAATTATTTTTAGTAGAGAAGGGGTTACGCCATGTTAGCCATGTTGGTTTTGACTCATGGCCTCAAGCGATCCACCTGCCTTGGTCTCCCAAATTGCTAGGATTACAGACGTGAGCTACCACGCCCAGCCTCTGTGTTTTGTTTTTGATAGTTTCAATTGCTGTTTCCTCAAGGACACTGAACTTTTCTATTATAGATTCTAATCTGTCATTAATCCCATACAGCCTGTTTATCTGAGACATTGTAGCTTCCACTTCTACATGTGTCCCTTCCACGTCTGCACTTAACTGTTCCATTTTTTCCAGGAGTTTTAACAACTGTCTTAATGTCCCTGTTTGCCAGTGTTGGTGTCTGTGCTGTTCTTGGCAGGTGTTTGTTGATTGGTTATTCTCTTCATTACTGGCCATGTTCTCCTGTTGCTTTAAATGTCTGGTAATCTTTGACTGGATGGCAGGCATTGTGAATTTTAGCTTGTTGTGCTTTAGACATTTTTGTATTTGTATAAATCTTCTTGATCTTTTTTCAGAGATGCAGCTAGGTTTCTCGGAAAGAGTTTAGTTTCCTTGGGTCTTGCTGTTGTGGTATGCTGGGGCACCCTGGGCAGTTCTCAGGCTGGAATAGCTGTCTGCATTCCTGTCCCTGTGCAATGTCAAGTGATCTTTCCATCACTATGGGCCTTGACAGACTTTCTGATTTTTAAACCACATGAATATGTTTTCCATTCAAAATACTAGATTTAGAAATGAAGACAAAACTAGACAGCTTCTTACTGTGAACTAAAACTGGCCCCATTCTGGTTGGGCCATGGAGCCTCGTTTTGCATTCTGTGCCCACGGAGGAGAAAGGAACTCTCCGTGGGTCGCCCCGAAGCCTGCTTTTGTTTCTCATCTGAATTGCTCCTCTGTGGTTCCCCATCACCAGCTCCTTCCACACCCCACATTAGAAGTCCTTTCCTGTCTTTTCTTCATTTCTGAAGACATTCTGAGGTCGCTTTCCTGTTCCTCAGTGGTGTCCCCTGCATTCTGCTGTCACGTCACCCTCTGGGAGCAGCCCACGGACATGGACACACCGACTCCCAGGCATCCTGCCTCGGGCTGGTTCTCTTTGTGCTTCCAGCTAAGATGTGGTCGATTGAGACTTTCTCAGTTTAGGCTTGTCCAGCCGAGCAGGGGCCACCAAGGACTCCTGCATCCTGTACTTGTGACATTTTCTAGTTTTCTCTTGATGTCATCGCTGTACTCTGAGAGCTTCACAGACATGTATTTAGAAATAAAGCGTTATAGCTGGGCCTCCTAACCTTTCATCTCCTTATCACCCAGAGGGCGGGACTTCCCAGCATGGGTGACCACAGACACCTGGTCACCATTTCGCTCTCCTTGCAGGTTGAAGGTTGAGGAGCTGGAGGGTGAGCGGAGTCGGCTGGAGGAGGAAAAGAGGATGCTGGAGGCACAGCTGGAGCGTCTCACGCTGCAGGTGAGGGCAGGGCAGCCTCTGGGGGACATGCCGCCTGGGGCCTCATAGTGTTCTGTCCAACATGAAAGCCCGTGGTTCCTGCCACCACAGAACACCTGTTTTCTGGCTCATCTGTCTGAACTCTGGGCTCTCCTCCCTCTTGTGGGCACCCCCTTGCCTGGCGGGGAGGCCGTGCTGCTGACAGGCCTGCATTGGCCACCTCTGAGCTCCTCTCCACCCTGCACCACCCACACACCTGGTGTCAGTGGAGTGGGCTCTGGGTGGGCTTGCACTGTGCCCATCCCAGGATCTGCCATGGTGAGCTGGACTGCTATTTGTGTTCTTTTTTGTTGTCCTTTATCTTTGGGTTTCATCCTCCTGTCTGAGTTGCTGCGTGGCAGGAAGCCCTTGGGTGCGAGGTTAACGCATTTTGGACAGGCCATTGATTTTTTTCTTGGCACCTCTTAGAGGCAGATCAAATCTATTTTTTATGACCAGTTCCTGGTGATTAGAGAAGTGGAATCTGTGGTGGCAGACAGCTCCGAGCTGTGCTGGCCTGTCCTCAGCCTAGGACCTGTCATCTTGTTTTAATTGGGCCATGGTGTACAGGTAGGGGTCATAAGGCTGCTGCCCGCCCACCAGAGGCACTGCGTCAGAGCTGCTGAATGTCTCTCTGGCTGCTGGATCGAGCAGAGCCTGAACCCTGGCTCCTTGGTGCCCATGTTGCCCACTGATTGGGGTCCAGGCCTCCCCACAGGCACCACTTGTGGCTTTCCTGCTCCGGCCTCTGGCTGTCTCCCCAAGGCATCCTCAGTGGCCCTTGGAGCTTGTTGAGGTGTGAATGAGGTGAGGGGTGTGGGTGAGCACTGTGCCGACACCTGGCGAACACCTGATGGAACCTGGCCATCATCCCCATCCTGTGTGGACGGCGTGTGCTTGGGAGCTCACTAGTAGAGCACTCCTCTGTGGGAGATGTGGGGCGGGACATCTGGTAGGAGATGCCAATGGCTGGTGTGCACTGCAGGGTTGGCACAAGGGGTAGGGCTGGCAGTGTCACCTGTGACCCTCCCTAGGGTGTTGGAGAGGTGGGGGCCCTGCTCCCAGGCATATCCTGAAGCTGCTCAGATCCGAGGCTTGGTGTTGGCCATGTGTCCTGAAGCTGCTCAGAGCCTAGGCATGGTTTTGACCACATGTCCTGAAGCTGCTCAGAGCCTAGGCATGGTATTGACTACGTGTCCTGAAGCTGCTCAGAGCTGAGGCATGGTGTTGTGCATGTGGAGTACGAGTGCCACACTGTGGCCAGCATGGCCATGTGGGGAGAGGACAGGGCTGGACCTGGTGGTCCTGGGGAAGCAGATGTTTATACCATGATATAGTGACCTCGAGCCTAGCCCAGGATTCAGGAGCTGTTCCTCCCTGGGTTAGTGCAACAGGTACGACTGTGCCTGGATAGCATATGAGAAACAAGCTCAGAGCAGTGAGGCAGGGAGGCCACTGGGGTTTGGCTCATGGAATGTTGGAAACTTCTAGACAACCCTGTAGCTGCCACCACCACTGACCCCCTCTGCGATTTCACCCCTGGTGTGGGGATGTCCAGGGTGGCACTGGGGAAGGTGAGGCCACATAGGCGCTGTGGTGGCTCGGGCTGCCCTTGGCTCTGGATGCCCGGGGCTGCACAACTGAAGGGAATAATGTATACAGTGGTCCATTTCCAAGACAAAGTGCCTTGAACCGGCTTAGGCCAGCAAACTACAGAAGAAACAGGATGTACTAGGCTCCTGCTTGGATCACTGATGCCTGCTTGTTGCCTCCCGCTCCCCTCTTCTCCCACTTTCCCCCCACCAACCTTACTTGCCCTCACCCGAACCAAAGAAGTTTAGTCTAAGATGAAAGTTTACTAGCCTGCCAAAGAGCTCGCCTTGTCTGTTCTTATCAGCCTGCCCAGCGACTTAGGTCATAAGTCAAATACTTGAAGAGTCCCTGAGCGGACTAGAATTGCAATGCACTGTAGGCTGCAACAAAATGCAGCAGGATAAGCCGAAAGAAAACACCTAAATCTCCTCCCAACAGCCAATAGGCAACATCCGGGAAGATGGTGACCCCCATAGTACCCAGCCTGTGAGGAACCGGGGAAGGGACCTGCGCACTAGGGGATAAACTGCTTGTTGTGACCATGCTGGGTGTGCCTGCCTATCAGACACTGGATCTTGCAAGACCGTCATTAAAAGTCTTACTTTTGGCTGGGCGTGGTGGCTCACACCTGTAATCCCAGCACTTTGGGAGGCCAAGGTGGGCCTCCCTTCACTTCCATTGAACCATCTCCATGGCAGGCAGGGCCCCGAGCCTGCACTCTGTGCTTGGGGGACAGGTTGTGGGGGCCTAAATCCACTTCCTGTGAGCCATCTCTGTGGCAGGCAGGGCCCCAAGCCTGCACTCTGCGCCATCGCTGCACTCCGGACCCAGCTGTGTGTCCTCTAGACACAGATGGGGCAACCCCATGTCCCTGGTGAGGAAACATCCACTCCCAGATCAGTGGTTTGGTCCAGGGCAGCTGGCCAGAGGAGAGAGTTGAGATCTGAAGCCAGGCTTGTCATCTCTGAGCTTGTTTCTCCCCATGCTTCTAGCCCGACCCACCCCACCCCTGCTTTTCTCAGCCTCTGCATCCTCACGGCCCAGCTGTCAAACTTGGGCCTTGGCTCCAAGGACCCCCTGCCCTGTGGCCACAGGTCTGCTCCCCCAGCCCCGAGGGGCCCCCACCCACATGCCAGCTGCAGGTGATTGTGGTGTGAGCCACAGCTGTTTGGGCCACTTGGGGTTTGCACCCCAATGGCAGAGCTGGCTGCCCAGGCAGTATGGGTCATCCTGGCATAAGGGAAGTATCCAACCCCGATGCCAGAGCCTCCCCCAGTTCTTCTGTCAGTTCAGGCTCAGGCCTGAGTCCTGACCATGCAGGAAGTTGGCGGAAGCTGTGACACAGTGTGACTGGTCCTGGCTGAGTGGAGGGGCAGGAGTTCGCACCTGGTTCAGGGAGCTGGCCCAGACACTGTTTGAAGTGGGTCTGAAAGCAGTTTTCACACATGGAGACACATGCCACCAGTCCGTCTGCCCAGGCTCGGGTGGGGCCAATGTCAAGTCACAGCCCTGGTCAGGAATCCCATCTCTCCTTCCTGGCAGTCTTGGGCATGTTGGTTTTTATAAAGGAAGCCCGTTTCAGCACTTACAGCTTCCTTTATAAAGCTGGGGGGCATGATGTCCCCTTGGGGATGCTGGGGAGATCAAAGACCTCCTCTCCCTGCTCCCACTTCCTCCGGAGAAGTCTTCATGTTGGGCCGCTTCAAGGAAGACTGATTACAGACCATGGCATTAGCACACACCTGGCACACTGTGGCTGCTGCATAGACGCTCATGCCCATTCTGGCTCTTCCTGCTTCTCCCATCACCAAGGGCAGAGCCTCACCCCTTTACCTCCATCCCTGAACCTGGACACCTTAGGCCTTTGGGCAGCTGTGGTGGAGTTGCGGGGGGCCCATCCTGGGGTGCTGGCCTGGGCACTCATGTCATTCCACTGGCCGCTTGTGAGAGCCACACAGGCCTGCTGCACGGGCCTGGGACCCACTGCTCCCGACAGGAAGACAGGCTGCCTGCAGGGTGGCTCCTGGCAGCAGCCAGCCCTGAAGAGTGCTTGGGAGCCATGTTAGCAGGAGCCAGCTGCCACCACTGCACTCCCTGTGTAGATGGATGCCCTCTCCTCTCCCTGCTCCCACTCCCTCTGGAGAAGTCTTCATGTTGGGCCGCTTCAAGGAAGACTGATTACAGTCAGCTGCAGTCTGACTTAATTGGGAACATTCTTGGAGAGGGGCTCAACTAGTTATTAGTTACTAGCTAGTTAGAACTTCATGTAATTAGTTCACAGCTGGTTGGTGAGGAAAGACAATTCCAGTTACCCCTTAGAGCTGGCCACTGCCCTCCCATGGTGCTGAGGCTGGGAGACGAGGCCTGGGAGGTCCTGTACTGCTTTTCTGGGAGGGCCATCATTGGGCTCCACTGTGGCGCCAGCCTTTCTGAATCTCCCTAAGATCCCAGAGCTGTCCAACACTCCTTAGGGCCGACTGTGTGCGCTCTCGTGTTGCTGAAGGGGCTGGAAGCGGGTGGGTGGGGCCTCTTTTGCTGCAAGCCCTCCCATCCAGTCTAGAAATGGGGAAAGTGAGGCCCACAGGGAGTGTGTGCGTGAAGGAGGAGCTCAGATGCTCCATTCTTGGGAGGCAGAATGAGGCTTGAATATGTTGCTGTGTTTTCAAGTGAAGACAGAAATTGAGCAGACCCCATGGAACTCCAGATAGGGTGGCAGAGGGAGCTCTGTGGCTATTGGTGCAGCCACAGGAGTTGGGGCAGGTGGAAGGCACAGTCCTTGACCCCACCTGCAGCCCCACCTGCGGCTGTGGCCTCCCGCCCCACCCCTGGCCCCACTGCCCGAGTGCACCCCTGTGCTTTTCTGTGGGCCTAGAACCAAGGAGCTGGGGCCTCAGCACCTTTGTCCTCATCTGGCTCCCGGCTGCATTCTCATGCCCCACCTTATAGTGGAGGCACTGGGCCTTGTCAGCTTGGGCCCCACAGCCTGGGGTGGGCCATGGCTCTGTCTCCCACTGGCTGCGGCCTGGCCTCGGCGTGCTCCCCAGGATATGGAGGGCATGGGTCTTTCCCGCAGGCTGTCTTTGGAGATCTCAGGTAATGGCTCCTGGAGGGCCGGCACATACCTGGTGAGCTGGGCCTGTGTAGCTGCCATTCTTGTTATCCATCATAATACCATCGTCCTTACCTCCATGACATGGGCATGTTTTCCACACCTGTGGTTCTGATGAGCCACGTCCGAGGATCGAGGGCACTGAGCCAAGGCAGGACACACAGGGAGGTGATCAGGGCCTGCAGGCCACCCTCAAAAGAGAGGGGCACATCCAGTGGAGGCCTCACTGCACCACAAGGAGGCCACTCAGGGCCCACAGGCCACCCTGGGTAGAGAGGGG